GGCTTGGGGTTGCCAGATAAATTTAAAATGTCCTATTTACTCTCTCCTTTTCTTTGCACATGTTCAACAACCTCATTAGAATATCTTTGCTCAGCACCTATAACAGTTTAAGTCAAAATGCCATAATTTTAAAGCCACAGAACTATAATTCATCATTTCGTATCTGGCAACCCGACTGACATTAAAAAGTACAGTGTTTTCATGTAAACCCACTCGTTTTTTTCTTTATTACCCCCAATAAACATTGAAAAAGCACAATATTTCCAGAGGTAAACGGGACCTTACAGCTGGTAGATCACGTTGACCTGGTCAATTTAAAAGTAGCTCGCATTATGAAAAAGTCTGGACACCCCCGGTCTAGAAAAATCCATGCCTCCTTCAAGTTCTATGACATTTAATCAAACTGTGTATATATTAGTTACTATCACTGTCTATGGAGTGTTTATCAAGTGAAAAAGTCTTAGTAATTATTCTTAAGTTTGCTGATTCATCTTTGCCTACGCTTTCCTCAGTGGTTGGTATTCTACCAGTATATTCTACCATAGCTACCAGTATTTATAGAAGTACTGTATATGGTGAGATCTGTATGTTTTGTGATTCTGGTGTCATCTGTCCTGCCCTCCTTAGGGTTTCTCCCTCTTGTAATCAGCTCCTGCCACCGGTTGTCCTTCCACAGGCGCTCGTTTATCCCCTCGTTTGTGTCTCTATATAGTCTGTTTCCTTAATGTTCCCGTCCATGGATTGTCCTGTAAAGGCGTCATGTTCCGTCTCCCTCATCTCCGTTCCCTCCGTTCATGTGTTTGCTGCCATGTCAGCCTTTTGTTTTGCTGTAATATGTTTCTTACTTTCGAGTTCCCCGAAACTCCACCAGATCATGACATATGGTATACTTACTATACTTTTATTATATGCATAATATAATGCTGCCTGCCTTTAAGCATCACTATCCATAAAGAGGGTCATTTTACAAAATGTACAAAATTTAATAACAAATGTGATGTGCTTGAGACTTGTTCGAGGTGTACCCTGCCTCTCACACAGTGACTGCTGGACATGGACACCAACTACCCACAAGAAAAACAGGATGATAAATGAATTGGCAATAGAACCTCTATTGCCAGTACTTCTGCACACCTGATCCAGACGAATAATTTAAATCTCATTATATCCGATATATGGTGGTACGTATCACACTTTCATGAGCCCATTCTGTAAATATTAACTATGTATTTTCTTGGATCAATCAAGACCATGTGAAAGTTTGAACACATCTGCCACTCAGAGTAACGTGGATATTTACAGATTGTTGGACTTTGGGCTAAAATAAGTTCCAACAATAAAACAACCAAATGGTATCGTACATCTGAGTCCAGGTTTTGGTTGTCATTGTATTTATTCATCTGTCATTGCCCACGGTGAAGTATTCTCCAGCAATGGAGGGTGTGCAGACACCTATCAAAGCATCTTCCCTTAGTTGTCCATGTGATTTGAAACAGCCTGAATAAATACGGTAATATGAATTGTATTTTGCTGTGTCAGCTTCCAGGTTGCTCCTATTTTTGTGCTCAGTGGGTAAAAAAAAGAAGATAATTTAGTGATCAGGAATCATTGAAGATAAACAAACTGCTGATCTCAGTTTTAATTAGAAACCACACCACAGTTCTCCGTCGCGGGGAAAAAAAAAAATACGTGTTCTGCCTTTTCAACCTGTTTGTGATTAAGGTTTATAAGATTAGAACCAGACTGTGAATACAAACTGAAGGGAAGGTGGTGAAAGCGTGGCAGGTGAAGCAGCCTCGGCAGGATGACGGTGGAGATCACAGTATTCCAGTGTTCGTTGGCCTCAGTGGCGCTCGTTGTCATGGCGGAGGTGACGACAAGAGTCCTCCAGGATCAAAGGCTGTGTGTGGCATTGCAAACGATTGCATTTTTTCCCGGATGGACATGGTCGTGTTTGCGTAGCTGAAAGGGACTCTGCGACAGCTCGTAATCTACTCTCATGCTCCGCAGATCAAAGGGCAAAGGCAGCTGGTCGTTTTCCCCCCTTCGGCCACCGTGGTGGTACGCCATGTTTCAGGATCACGCGCAACCCGGTGAGGCACGTTTCGGGCCCAACGGTTGTCATAGCAATGTGCCACAAAACTGGACAAAAGGGAAAAGGGGGAGAGAAATCAGCTCCGTCAATATGTTGCCAAGCAACCCTCGACACTAACGAAGTTCGGTTTGATAACTTGTTGATAACACCGGTGGGAGAGCCGTCTGAAATGGAAAGGGTTATGAAGGAGCCCCCGCTGAGCCGAAACCCAGAGGACGGATAAGGAGTGAAACCTGCTATTAAAGGGCCGGGGTTAGTGGGCCCCAGGAACCTTAGACACACCTCTGGGTCCAACAAAAGACCTCATTTCATAATGAACCACACAACAGAACCAAAAAGAGTGGCGCTTCAACATGTTTTCTTTGTTTTGTTTGGTTTTTTTATTAATCTTTTTTTTTTTTTTCAAAGCAGGAATGTACTAATTTTTCCTCTCTTTAGAGGCGTGTCGGACGGGGAAGGGGGGTAAAGCAAGGGGAGGTAAAGAGAGGAGGGGGGTTGCAGTGATAATTGGCAACAAGGAGAGAGGAAGAGGAGAGGAGACACAGAAAATTAAAACTTTCTCGTACAGCGTGGCGTCCCGAATACAAAGTCGGAGCGCCCGCGGCGTCCGCTCGCTGGCTATTGGCACAAAGAAGCTCACGCACGTTTATGCACACACACAGTTTTACCAACGTGGAGGTGAGGCAGCTATTATTTTTTAAAATCTTTCTCTTTCCTCTGTACCATAGAAACACTTTCTTACGATTTATTATTATTTTTTAAAAAACATGACAAACATGGCTGGGTCCGAGTTTTTTTTTCTTTTCTTTTAAGAACATTTTGAGTCAACCGGTCAAACACAAACAGTGAGAAGAATCTGGAGACACAATTTTGAAATAACAACCACATGAGAAAGAACATTTCAACAAAATTAAGTCCAAGAGATATTTGACATTCTGCTGAGAGGAAAAAAAAACGAACCAAAAAACAAATTACAAATAAAAAAAATGGGGCGGTGGCGTTTTTTTTCTTTTTTGCTTGACTTGTAAAGTCCGGGAGATTTGGTCTCTCCTTCCTCGCGGCAGTGACCTTTTCTGAATACTGTCATTTTTTGGACCAAATAGCCCCGAAGCGTTGCAGAAGTTGCTGAACACAGAATAAGAGACACTTCATTTGGCTTGGAGGATTCTCTTTAAGGACTCTGAGCATGTTTAAATAGACATAGGATACATAAAGAAGAAAACACGAGTCGGCAGTTGTACAAAACAACAACAACAAAAAAAAAAAGAATTTGAGGTGTTTTCATCCCCCGGTCTCAATTTAATAGTCAGAACACAATCCGAACTCTTTCGTGGTATAAAAAAAACATCGTTGAGTGTTGAACAAAGTCATTTCGGACGAATGTGACACGCAAAGAACCAAAGATTATATGATACCGATACAAAAACACAGTTGACGAAATGTGGAAAAAGTTCAGGATTTTAACACTGGCATCACACAGGAAAGAACGTGGCAAAAACACTGCTTTAGAACGCAACGTGAAGCTCTCCGCAAGCCCGAAAAACAGGTCTGAGCAACACAAAAAACAGCTTTATTAGTATGCACAGGTGAAGAGAGCGCACCTCCTGTCGCTGGTCCAGGTTAAGGTGCAGGGCACTGGTGTGTGTGAGTGTATGTGTGTAAGGAGAGGCAAAAACACAACACAATCACTGCTTTTTTAAAATCCCTTCCATGTCCATCATCACAAAAACACAGAGTCGTATGAACGTTTGCTGTAAGGTCAAGGAATCTGTAATCGGGTGTAATCTGGGGGGGGTTTGTCGTGTGGAATTTCGAGATTAAATGTGACAAATTTGGCCCAAAAATTAAAGAAAAGAGGGACGAATTGTCTTGTGTTGAAGCAGTCACAGTGGATGTGTGTGTAAGTGTGCGTTTGTAAAAGAGCGTGTGACGAGGATCTTTTCCCGCTACTCCTCCGGATCCGTTTTGGGCAGTCCTAACCGGTTCCTCCTCTTCATCAGTCTCCAGATCCTTCATCATCTCCAATTCCCCTCATCTCCCTTCCTCTCGTTTTTAAAGTTCCTCATTCAGGCGGCGCGTTCTTTCCTTCGCTATTATTATTTCTTCCGTTTCATCTTGTCTCGCCTCCCCCCTTTTTCCCCCCACCCACCGTCGCCACCTTTACAAGCTTCTTTTCTGCAATTTAAAAAGAAAGAAAAACTTTCTACCTCAACACATCCACGAACAAGGTCTAGACCTCTGAACTACAGCATAGTACGATGAGCTATAAAAATATACACAGAGGAGGCTCAAAATGGGGGGGTGAACAAAGAAACAACTTCTGTTCATCAGAAAACAGACGAGGGATTAATGTACAAATAAAGTTGTTTTGGAAAAAAAAAATGCAGGTAAAAATAACTAGCAACAGAAGTGTCGTTTAACAGAATCGGTAAAAATAATAATAATAAAAAAAAAGTCTAGAAATTATTTACTGGATATTCATATATATAATCTATAAGTGTTGGTAGCCATAAAAAAATCTCACTTTCTTTTTTTATATTCGCTCACTATTTTGTGTTTTGGTATTTAAGACAAGTCTAAAGAACACACACACACGTCAAACAAACTTGCTGTAGCTCACTAACTGCACACGCACGTCTAACGTGGAGCAGCAGCGACGCCATAATTATTTTCCAACTCAGACACACACGCTCACACACACATACATTATTAAAATATACAAGATTTTGAGCGTCACCGATTGATCAGACCTCATCGATTAGGCTGGAGTTCCGCTCGGCTGAGTCCAAGGCCCCCCCACCCTCCCTTGTTTTCTTAAATGAAACAAACACAACAAACCAGTCGCCAATTGTTGAGTTAGTAGCAAGGGGCTCGCCTCTAATTGGCTGACAGAGGATCCAGCAGGGGGTGGTGGTGGTGGGGGGGGGGGTCATAGAAGGCAGGTGTGGCCTCTGCGAACCAGAGGTGAGTCCAGTCTTTTCTGCTTTTATACCTTTATTTTCTTTTTGAAATTATCCCTCATCTAAGCGCTAGGCCTACAAAAAGAGTGCGTTGCGCTTATACTGGCATTCAAATGTGGAGGTGGGGGCGTGGCGCTTGGGTGGGACTCTGAGTTTACAAGATCGGAGGGCCATTCAGCGCCTTTTGCCCAATCGTGAGGGCCTTGATAAGAGGGTTATGTTAGCCCAGTTGTGTGCAACGATGTGGGGGGCAGGGTTTTTTTTAGCTAACAACACAACTGTGGATGGGTGGGAGGAGTCCAAGGGACAATACTACTGAGGCAATCAAGCTTTGCTGTGGCTTCATTGGGAGAAGGGGGGTCAGTTGGTGGAGGGAGATGGGGCTGTCCTGTCGATCGTCTCATACTTTGTAGTAAATGTTGGCTGGGCTTTGAGGTGGCATCTCCTGGACGATGTAGACGGGGTGCCCGTAGTCCCCGCTGACCTTCTCGTAGTGCGGGCAGTAAGCCGAGTCCGACGTCCGGAGGGGGATGATGATGTCACTGGGCTCGGAGCCGTTGTTGTTGGAGCTAGATATGCCGCCACCGCCCCCGCGCTTTGGGCTGGTGAGGGAGGAGAGTGACAGTGGAGGGTGGTGGGTGTCCGAGTGCTTGGCGTGCCGCCGCCGGTAGCACACGATGCAGATGACAGCGGTGACCAGCAGGAGGAAGGCCGAGCCCCCCGCCGCTCCGGCGATGAGGGCAATGTTCGAAGGCTGCAGGGGTCCGTTCTCATCGCCGCCTTCGTCTTCGAAAGGTGCTCGGGACTGGGTGGAGTTCCCACCTGAAACAAATCACAGAACTTCCATGAAAGACTAGAACGAACACGTATCGCCAACTACACATCATGATAGAAGGCCACCACTTCCCGGAAGGTATGTTAACCCTTAGAGTATGTGCTGAGCATGATTTTCAGCTACCACCACTTAAACTTTACCTCAATATTTAAATTTTTTACCAAGTTATACCCATATTGTGTTAGCTGTGACAGCCATCTTGAATGGGGTTGACTTTGAATCAGTTGTACATTAGACGTACAGGCAATGGGTACTTTCTAAAGTTTTCTTTGAAATTTATTCAGAGGTCCATGCGATATTTTACTAACACGAGCTGATTTTAACAGGTAAATGCAAAGTTTTAACTGCAGATCTCACACGATCAGTTAGAGATAGGTTGACGATGAGGCTCAGTGACTACCACAGCAAAGTTTAGCAAGAAAAGTACAAAGTAGAATTTATACCTATATCACCTTTTACAGATAATTAAAAACTAATTCACAATAAAATGCAAATAATGTGTTGCTTTTCTGTGTCAGCCATTTTGAATCATGTTCAGAGTATGTGGTAATAATGACTCTCAGCTACCACCACACTAAAGTTTAGGTCCGTTTCTGTAAAACTGAGTTGCAGCTATTTTTTGTGTTTGCTTGGCTAGATAAGCTGTGGCAGCCATCTTGAATCAGGATGTCTCCAGTAGATGTTCAGGTGTAGAACCCAATGCTTTTCTTTCCGAAAGCCTTTCAGCAGCAGGGCGATTATTACTCCAAGCTCCTCTAAAGCCGGTATACATTAATCCCTGTGCATAAAACCACGGCAACAACACAGCCGGCTCTCACAACTTGTGTTTTCACAAGCTTTTGAGAAAGAATCCCACTCCTTATGGCTCTGCAGCGCCGTAACGTGAGTAATGGCGATGGTTTAGCTCGATGAGCGGAGGCAGCGTGGACTCACCCCGCTGGAATGCAGCAAGTATGCAGCAAATCTCCCAGAAGCTTATTTGTGGTCTCTTTATTGATGTGATGAAGTGGACAGTGGTGCATATAAAACAGCCAGGAATGTCCGCAGTGATGGAGGGTGCGCTGAACACTGTATGCTTTTTGTGGAGAGCCTGGCTGAGCCACAGTAACAAACTGTAAAAACACTGTTAAGTCAGGAATATAGCCGGACAACATGAAGGGAACCGCCATTGGTCCACCGCTGATACCAGGACCACACAATCAGGCCTGACCCTAACTCTTCCTGCCTACCACTTTATCACCCGAAGGAGGGGCAATAATGGTTGTCCCCATGTCTGCGTCTGTCTGTACCCTTTGTTGTACTGTGAATGGATTTTAATGACATTTTTAGAAAGTAGTCAGTGGGTTAAAAGAGAGTCCAGGCAGGATGGAGTGGATGGAGAAACGTTTCAGGAGTGATTTGTGGCAAAGGGGTGTCAGCAAAGGTCAAAGGAAAAGTTTAAAAGACAGTTGCGAACACTATGTAGTATGGTCTGGAGACAGAGACGTGGACAAAAAGACAGGAGACAGAGCTGGACGTGACAGAAATGAAGATGTTGAGGTTCTTCTTAGGAGTGACAAGGATGGATATTAGGAATGAGATCATCAGAGGCACAGCACAGGTTGAACAACTGGGAGACAGAGAGGCCAGCCTGAGATGGTTTGGACATGTCCAGAGGAGGGACAGTGGGTATATTGGTAGAAGGATGTTAGAAATGCAGCTGCCAGGAAAAAGACAAAGAGGAGATATATGGATGCAGTTAGAGAGGACGTGGGGGTAGTTGGAGGACAGAGAGAGGATGCTGAGGACAAAATGAGATGGACTAGGATGACTCGCAGTGGCGACCATTGAAGAAGAAGAAGTCAGTGGGTTGACATCTGCAACTGTTTACCATTTTGAGTCAACCTGATTCAAGATGGCCACCACAACTAATCAACAGCAGGCAACTCTTATAAGATTATACGTCAGGCAAATTTACAGACATTCAGCTAAGATTTGGTGCGGTGGTGGTAGCTGAGACTGACCCCCAACGGAGAGCCTGAGCGCAAACTGATCGAGCAAGATCCGAGTTTAAAACTCTGGCATTAACGTTTTCAGTCAACACTGTGTGTCTGTTAGCAAAATATCTACAACAGCATAAACTCTGGGCGAGGCCTTTTAATACAGCATGAAAAATGCATGCGACGATTTCTAAATTTAAGAAAAGCCTAAAACTCGAGAAAGACGGCGAGTCTTCCAAGGATGCGATTCTGTCTGAAACTCAAGACTCCAACTTTAAGTTGTCCCTGCAGGGGGTCGTGTCAGAGCCCAGCAGGTGAACGACGCTTTGGGGCGGGGGGGGATCATCCGGACAGGGCTGAGCGTGTAAACCAGAGTTCCAGACTGGTTAGAGTTGCGATTGAGTGGCTGGATTGGTCCATCATTATTCTGGGCACATGTCTCTTTCTGTCTCGCTGCTGCCCCCCTCCCCTGCCCCCCCGGTTCATGGTCCTCTCCATCTTCGGGGTTATTGTAGCTGTAATGACCCACCTTGCTTGGAGCTCAGTGCCCAGCAACAAACACGCACTGAGATGCTTGACGTACACAATGACCCTACACCCCCCCACCCCGTCCCCTCCCTCGCTGCTTGGCGCCCCGTCGAGCACGACCAACTGGGAAAGAAACCCAAATGCCGGACGTCGATTATGCCCCCCACCCCCCTCCTCCGTCCTGCTTTCTTCCTCCCTCCATTAACACGACATCCCTCACTCTCCGTCTCCATTCGGAGCGCCACCTTTCACTGGCTCTCTTCATTAACACCCCCCCCCCCCCC